GTTGTCCCTTCATGCTGGCTTTGAGTCGACGAGTTTGTGATGCCAAATCCGTTGCTTCAGTCGTCTTCTTCTCCAGCTCGTCCCTGAGTTCCCGAGTCCGTACGCCGACTAAAGAATTTAGGATGACATTTTCGTCCTGAACTTGAATTAGAGTCGACTGCAGAAGTACGGCGTTGTCATCTTTCTCTTTCAAAGCACGCTTCTGTTTTGCATTGCAACGAGTCAGGGTTGCGATTTCTTTTGTATAATTTGGCGATGTGACATCTCGTGTTGTGATTGGGCGTTTTAAATCTTAATCCGTGCAAACGATTGATGTGTCAACAGGCGTATAAACATTGAGAAGAGCTGCCGAACTGCCGGGATACACAAACGTTTCCGAGAGGAAGGCAACCAGTTCATCACGTGCCTTCACAGAGCCTCTCGAATTGCATCGTTTTTCATACTTGGTGAATCTTTCATTCAATCTGTGGAATTTCGACATTACTGGCTTCACACTCGGGAATGATCGATCCGTGAAGTAGATCAACCATTGTGTGATGATGTCTGGCCATACCGAAAACGTCTTTCCGTTGCGAGACACCGAGAGGTTCAGCCGTTCGTAATTCTGCGCGGTGTATACAAGACACAGAAATGTTCCATTGCAGAGATTTCGAAAGACGTCTTGTGCTTCACTGTGTCTACACACTGGCTGGAGACAAACAAGATCACTGTGTTCTACGCCTAACACTGGTAGAGGAAATGGAAAGTTTACCAGGTCAACAGATTCAGGCATGATCACGATGTGTTTGTAGATATCAGGTCCTGAAACAAACAAAAAACAAGCAAAATTTAGATAATGTACAATGTATGCTAAACAGTCTATTTTTACACTAGAAATGTCCCAGAATAGACGAATAACAACCCTGATTTTGCCCACTATGTCTTCTAGCTTTAATAACATAATTACTTATGTATACTAATATGGGAGTTGTATAAATATTATTATAAAGTGAGGTAGCTCTTTAATAAAAAGGGTCGGATCAATAAAATTATTGGCAGGTGTACAACTTCATTATGTGTCGATGATGTGTACCGAATATGATTGAAATTGGTCCAGTACTTTGGGAGTTGTATGAATATGTATTAAAAAGGGGAGGTAACTTTTTAATAAAAATGAGTCGGACAATACTTGCCCTGCTATATATATAAGTGTCGCTCATAGGGTCTATGTCCCCCAGATTCAACTAACCGCCTTTTGCTCTTCATTGGCAACAGTTCTTATGATCAGCCATGCTGCTGACTGTGGCGCCATCTGTGGTTACAGATATTATAACATTGAGATGTTGTAATATCACAAATACAATATTGTCACACAGTGGACTGTAATGCAGAAGAACAAATGTTCAGCATTCATTCAACAACCTCGTAGTCATAACCTCTATTTTTCAATAGTCCAGGTGACTGAACCGTGTAACGTGTTCAGCTGGTGCTGTGTTACTACTAATAGTAGTTACACTACAGGCTCGAGTAGTACAACTTTAGTACTAGTACAACGGTAGAAATAAGAACAATATGCAAGTTAGCCCGATGCGCTAGTAAGGTAAGGTTTGTACTAGCCCTTCTGGTTTTCAACTAGCCCTTAAAAGCATGATGTCGATAGTGGTTGCACGGGAAAATTGTTGATCTCACGAATGCTCCGAGATGCTTTCTGAGGGTATTGTGGACTGAATTTGAATGCATTTTTTTACTGAAAGTACTTAAAAAAGTATAACAAAATTGAATAATGGAGCAAACAAAATACAACTTCGTCAGGTAGAACATGTTTATTAACTGTGAACCAGGCACAAAATTTCTCGATCAGCATGATCAAACAATTAACATTGTTCTTTGTTCATGAAGTTATTTTCCCAATGCTTCTGCTGACAAGGCAGTGAAAAGTATATAGGCATTGGTTGCTGCACTCTGCCTTTCATCATAACTTGGTACTGCATTATCTTCATCTTCGTTTTCGTGGGCATAATCACTTATGTAGTCTTCATCATCATCTGCCTGACAATTTGTAAGCCTCCCCATATCTTCAAGTGCAGCAGCTGACTCTGAGGGTGCATTCAGAGCATGCACAGGGTCTGAGTTGAACTTTGGCTCAGGTTGTCTGGTGCTTAGACTCAAAGACACTTCTAGACACTTCCTGGACTCGCCTCCGCCTGGGGGTTTCATACCACAGGGTTATGACAGGGATGGGATCATACTTTAGAACGTCAGGAGACTCGAGCATGATCATCATCTGGTCACCAAGGTGACTATCTGTGAGCTTGCTGCGCCAGTCACCTTTTGCCAGTTTTAAGCGATTGAACCCCCTCTCTGCTTCTGCTGATGATGCGGGCAGCGTTACAATGAGATCGACCAAGGCCAGTACATTTGGACAGATCTGCAACACTGCCACCTGCCATTCCATAATATCTGGAAAAAATTATGTATTGTTTTTTTATGCTAACTAGTTCATTGGCTGGAAATTATTTTACCATTATTTACTTTTATGCTTTCATCAAAATTTTAACTATGAAAGATAAATGATAAGGGCCGGGCAGGGCCAATGGTGGGCTTTTGCACACATCACGGACAGAAATGGTTTCTGATGCAGCAGTGGTGTATTCTCGGGCATTTTCTCACACAGTCGTTCCAGCCAGGGCCAGTACAGGGCAGATTATGTCCTGGCAGAAGAATGTAGTGTTACTCTGCAAGCTGGTAAGCTGCAGGCAGATGTGATAGCCATACATTTCTCCCCGAAACATGTTAACAGCCTTTTGAATCACACTCCATGCCAACATCCAGAGACAACTAGCCCAGTTTCATCTAGATGTCGCTTTTTCTTTGCATATGTCCTCGCAGCTTTCCATCGGCTGGGTCCACAGTTGCTGGATCCATTTTCCTAAATATTGTAAATATGGTAAATCTTAATATGGTTAACCAAGTCAGGATATATCATTTCAATAGAACTCCATTTCCAACTAATGTACATATTTCATCTAATATAATAAAGGATATATGCATGGATAGATATTTGCTATAAGAGTATGCTAGAAATACTCCTCTAGCATATCTAGTATATCCCGGAAGTCCTTCTGGCGAAATCAATTTGTCGTCACTGCCATCAGCAGTGATGAGGCAACCTGTCTTCTGCCATATGTGCAGGTCTGGGCCTTGTCAGATGTGCATTCTTCCAACACTGATGTGAAGAGTTCAAGTATTCCTTTAGTGCCACTGTTTTTCTTAGCCAGCTCCATGATGCCATCTGCTGCACCGAGAAAAAACTTGTTGAGAGAAGCGTGAACATCCTTCCCTCCAAATGTGGCTTGAAGTTCCTCTAAGAGCTTGTAGAAAAAAAGTCAGGAAATGTATGAAATGCATACATATTTTCTAGTCTATGGATTGCAAATGTTCAAAATATTTGCTTGGTTAGCTAATTAAGCTTAAGAGACTAAATATAGGCTAAAGAGTATCGCTTCATAATTCTTTTCCAAAAAAATTGCTAAATTAATATATTATATTAAATAAGCAATTTTTTGGGAAAAAAATTATGAAGCGTTACTCTTGAAATGTGTCTTGATGTGTTTTTAATCGGACCTTTTACGGGCGAGATCTTGGGGGGGGGTCAAAATGGCCCCATTTTCTGAATTGGGTTAATGGTATGTAAAATATTAGCATTGTGGTATTTTCCTACCTGTGTTTCTGCTTTCAAAATTGGAAATTCTTCGAGAATTTCCACAACTGAATGCTGGGCTATATACGCGATCCTGTATCCCCTTGTTCGGTCCATTTTGTCTTTCACTATACCCACATAAAAATATGGCAAATTGGTATTACCGTCTTTTCGCTTTTCTTACTGGATGATCTTAACAGAATGTAAACCTGTATGTGGAATTATAAACACTATACATCATGACAGCAACACACACGCAATAGTAAAGGGTCACTGTGGTTTCGCAGGTGAACAACAACCGTTTAAAAGGTACTTACTTGAGGTTCAAATTGATTGGCTCCTTAAAGCATATGCATTTTTCCTCCTCAAGGACCATTTCAGGGTTTTCTTTGTACAGTGCATCACTCCACAGTACTTGGGGTGATGTTGGCAAGTAGTCCGAGTCAGCGTCTTCGCTACCAGATTCCGCAAGCGAGTCCTCATGGTGATTCACACGAAATATGTCATCTTCAATCTGACTCTGATTCATTACCTTTTCTCTGTAAATATAGGGTTAATTATGAGACATAGTGGCACATTCAATCTTAAATGTGCATCACTGCAGCAGTTTTACCAGTATTATATTTGTCAGGTAGGCGTTTTATGGTATTAATATTACACAAAATAGTAGACAGCATATATAGGTGAATATAAATATAGCTATTATCTTATCGACATTAAAACTGCAGGTTATTGCCACAAAATGCATAGGTATACCTACTGAGAGCTCGTCTATGATGTAAATACTCACTACAACTAATTTGTATTGCTACTTTAATAATATTTCTATATTTTTCCTTATTCCTCGCCACGAGTTTGTCCAGAAGGAGGAGAGAATCACTCCTGTGCTCTCTATCTAGGTCCTCCAAGAGCATTGGACTTCTCGAGAAAATGGGTCCTAACCTTGACTCCATGTCGTCTTCTAAAGAAAGGTTGACATTCCATCTCATCATAACCATAACTACACCTTTCTCTACCTAACCCCCAGTACTACATAACCCCCAATATAAATGGGGTAATATAAATAGTGATATCTTTTTGGAAAAGCAGTTTTATTTCTGCTTAATGACTATAAGTGTCGGACCTACACTTTTGATTAGAGGCTGGCATGCTCTTTCTTTTTGGATGAGCTGGTGCTGCAGCTTCCTGGACGTCCTCAGGCTCAGCTGTATGGACCTCAACATCATCAAGCACCTCGTTGGTAAGCACCTGATCGGTCTCATATCTGTCATCTTCTTCGTTCTGGCTTGATGTGTCGGTCATACTGAAGTCTGCTGACACATCAGACTGACGAAGCAGGCGATGTTGGAGCTGCTCGATCATCGTTGGCATCAGTGACAATGCTCCTTGCATTCATCTGCGTGCTAGACAAAAGCCTCACTGGATCAGCACTGGCCATGTGCCCCCATATAGAGAAGCAAATGTCATAGAGTTCAAATTCAACCCTCTTTTGGCCACTGGTGGTATTACTGTCTTTGACTTTATAGAACTTTGCCTTGATGGTCTTCAGTTTCTGTTTTACTTGCTTCCTGCTCCTGGTGAAGCCTGCTTTTTGCAGTCTTTCACTAATGATCTGCATGTAAAAGATAGGGAGGCCCAGCACAAATTAGCATATATTGCATAGTTCTAACACTCACCATTTCCATAGCATACAAGCCACACAGCTACTATTTTGTGTATCTGGTCTACTCCTAGTGTTACAACTGCCCTCCAAATATCTTTAAAATTGGTTGAGTAATAAAAATACCATTTATTTGCACATTTTCACATAAATCACACAAAATTAAGTGTCCGAGGGGTAAAATTAAAATAATCACATTATTACCTCAAACAGCATCTTTGTCAGTCGCAAATTTATTGGTCAATTTCCTCATATTTGCATGAAGCTGGTCAATCTTTTTTTCTCGCCTGAAAGTTTTCTTGATAGTGTTTCTTAGAGATTTCCGCACTTCCGACAACGTATTAGTCACCTTTTCCAATTCTGCATCTTTGCTTTCCATTTGCGCAACTACCGATCGATTTTCTGCCTTCAACCGTTTGTTTTCAATGTTTAAGGAATCGATCACTCCCATCTGACTTTCACATTTCCGCTGTACGACTTGTCCCTTCAGGCTGGCTTTGAGTCGACGAGTTTGTGATGCCAAATCCGTTGCTTCAGTCGTTTTCTTCTCCAGCTCGTCCCTGAGTTCCCGAGTCCGTACGCCGACTAAAGAATTTAGGATGACATTTTCGTCCTGAACTGGAATTAGAGTCGACTGCAGAAGTACGGCGTTGTCATCTTTCTCTTTCCAAGCACGCTTCTGTTTTGCATTGCAACGAGTCAGGGTTGCGATTTCTTTTGTATAATTTGTCGATGTGACATCTCGTGTTGTGATTGGGCGTTTTAAATCTTCATCCGTGCAAACGATTGATGTGTCAACAGGCGTATAAACATGAAGAAGAGCTGCCGAACTGCCGGGATACACAAACGTTTCCGAGAGGAAGGCAACCAGTTCATCACGTGCCTTCACAGAGCCTCTCGAATTGCATCGTTTTTCATACTTGGTGAATCTTTCATTCAATCTGTGGAATTTCGACATTACTGGCTTCACACTCGGGAATGATCGATCCATGAAGTAGATGTGAAGTAGATCAACCATTGTGTGATGATGTCTGCCCATACCAAAAACGTCTTTCCATTGCGAGACACCGAGAGGTTCAGCCGTTCGTAATTCTGCGCGGTGTATACAAGACACAGAAATGTTCCATTGCAGAGATTTCGAAAGACGTCTTGTACTTCACTGTGTCTGCACACTGGCTGGAGACAAACAAGATCACTGTGTTCCACGCCTAACACTGGTAGAGGAAATGGAAAGTTTACCAGGTCAACAGATTCAGGCATGATCACGATGTGTTTGTAGATATCAGGTCATGAAACAAACAAAAAACAAGCAAAATTTAGATAATGTACAATGTATGCTAAACAGTCTATTTTTACACTAGAAATGTCCCAGAATAGACGAATAACAACCCTGATTTTGCCCACTATGTCTTCTAGCTTTAATAACATAATTACTTGGGAGTTGTATAAATATTATTAAAAAGGGAGGTAGCTGTTTAATAAAAAGGGTCGGATCAATAAAATTATTGGCAGGTGTACAACTTCATTATGTGTCGATGATGTGTACCGAATATGATTGAAATCGGTCCAGTACTTTGGGAGTTGTATGAATATGTATTCAAAAGGGGAGGTCACTTTTTAATAAAAATGAGTCGGACAATACTTGCCCTGCTATATATATATAAGTGTCGCTCATAGGGTCTATGTCCCCCAGGGTACTGCCGGAACGTACCCTGGTCACTATTTGATATGGTTAGGATTAGGGTTAGGGTTAGGATTAGGGTCAGGGTTAGGGAGTAGGCGTAGGCGACTCCCTAGACTCGTTAGTGGAGTAGGCATTAGGCAAGGTACGGTCCGGTCCGGCATATTAGATAGTAAGCCTACCAGGGTACGTTCCGGCAGTACCCCGGGGGACATAGACCCTCTAAGCATAAGTGTCGGTGTGCATAGTGCAGCCGCGGCAGGTGTGGCGCACCTGCCGGCCCTACCAGCCATGGCGGCCGGTAGCGTGTGTACAAAGAAGATTTGGACGGAATTTACAGGAAACTGTCGGTAATAATACTAATAGGTGAAAGAGAGGGCCCTAGAAACATTAAGAATAATTAAGAATTTGGTAGCAAATACATTTCGGTTCAAGAATAGAGAACATGGGTCCCAATAAACCCAATGTCATTTACATCAATATAAATATTATATTATATCAATATAATAGGTTAGGGTTATTGTTAGTAGGTTAGGGTTAGGGTTAGACACATTGGTTTTATTGGGACCCATGTTCTCTATCCTTGAGCCTACATTTCGATTTATTTAGCATTATATTTTATTGAAGCTATATGTGGGCTATATCTAGAGCCTAGTCGTTACTGAATTCTGAATTCGATTCGTGATGAACGACGAGAATCATGGGAAAGTCTGATGAGGTCGTTTAGACACTTCGATATGCCGTCGAAACGTTCCCCCAACACTGGCCAAGCATGTGCCAAATCACGTCTTAGTCGTTCTAGGTGAGTACGAGTCAGACACTGGTCTGCAGCTTCAATACCATATTTTCACTGGCTAGATTTCTGCAACAATTGTTTATTTCAAGCGTAAAATTATGAATAAATTCGCCGGCATCAATTCGACGTGCCATTTTGGATGGTCTGTCGGATTTTTATATCGTATGCTGTGATTGGTTGATTTATGTACGGAAGTATGTATGTCCCTTCTCGCCTTGGTTGATTTATGTACGGAAGTATTCATGTCCCTTCTCGCCTTGGTTGATTTAATGACGGTACATAAATGATGTAGTTACGGTACATAAATGATTTAGTTACGGTACATAAATCGATTTAATGACGGTACATAATTCCATGTTTGCGATTGGCTGAGCACAAATAAGTTGCATCTGATTGGTTGATTTAATGAAGGTTCGCCTTCCATACACGGTTGCCAACATACACATAAAATCTCCGTGTCCTGTTCTTAAGGTAACCTTAGCACAACTTTGCTGTCTGTGTAGTAAGTCACAGTTTCTGGTGCGAGTGACAGCTCGTCGAAGGCAATTTCACCAATTTCGACATCCAACACTGAAGCACAAAGTTCAAGACGTGGAATGGTGTGACCCTCCTTAGGAGCCACTTTCGACTTGCCTAATACAAATCCCACGTGTTTGTTCCCAGAAGTGTCCACAGTCCTCAAGTATGCTACAGCCGCAATGGCCTTCTCAGAAGCATCACAATATATGTGAAGTGTTTGACTTACAACATCCTTTCCACTGAACGGATGATACGTTCGTGGGATTTTCAAAGTTACCAGAATATGAAGATTGTCCACCCAGCCATCCCAGACCTCTCGAAAACCCTCCGAGAGTGGCTCATCCCAATCCTTGGTGTTCCGGACCATTTCACGCAGAAAAATCTTTCCTCTAATAGTGACAGGTGCCAAGAAGCCGGGGCGGGGGGGGTCATATAAACTGTTCACTGTTGAGAGAACGCCCCTTCGCGTATAGGGTTTGACATTGTTCGAGACACTGAATGTGAAGGTGTCCGAGTTGAGATCCCAGCATAGACCGAGACTACGCTGCATGGGTAGCGCATCTACACCAATGTCTAAGTTCTTCAAATCCTTCGCGAAATACTCGCTGGGAAATTCATCATTCACCTCCTTAGAATTTTAAATTATTTTGTGCAACTGTATTCCTGCTGTTTGGAGTGCCCTCTGTGTTCTGTCGATCAAGTCTATAGCCTCTTGTGCAGACGACACAGAGGCGAGGCCATCATCAACGTAGAAATTCGTTTTAACAAATTCCCTTATATCATGTCCGAAATCTCCTTCAGCTTCCAAGGCTGCACGTCGTAGTCTATAACTGGCTATCGCAGAGGACGGGCTGTTCCCAAACACAGGCTTTCACAAGCGATACTCTTTGAGCTCATTTGAAGGATCATTATTTTCATACCACAGAAACCTCAGATAGTTGTGATGATGCTCGGAGACGGAGAAACAATAGAACATTTGCTCCACATCTGCTGCAATCGCGATGGCTTCCTTCCTGAACCGAAGCAAAACGCCAAGCAAATTGTCACCATATGTTCTTTCTTGACAAGAGTCTTTTCAAACTTGCATGCAAGCTTTGAGCTCTCTTTTATGATTGAGGCCTGTTGTTCGGTAATTGTGGACGTGGAGACCGGAATGGGAGTGGTGCAACCCACTTTCCATCTGCGTCCTTAACACACTGATCGTTCATCAAATTCAAAAATGTCTGATCCTCGATAGACATCCCTAGCTTCTCGTCATCACTGGTTTTCACAAAAACGTTTCTGTCCAAGGTGTCAACATCCGCTGCTTTTGTAAGCTTGTAAAGTTTGAGATGAAAGCCTGTCGAAGGGTTTGCATGAGCTTCCTTCACAATGAACTCATTAGGGCATGGTTTAAACAATGAAAGACGACCGTCTCTCAGTACGACTGTTTTGGCTCGATGAACCTTGCCCAAACTTCGCCCACAGTCACCCAGCCAAGACTCAGTTTGTGAGCATAGGGTGTGCCTTTGGGTCCTATCTTCTGATCATGTAAATGATGTGCCTCTGTGAGATCTCTCCTGATTAACAACCATATTGAAGCATCTGGATCGATCTCTGCTATATTTTCCGCAATGCTCTTAAGGTGAGGATAATTCATGGCAACTTCTGGTTGGGATTTTGTCACGAAGATCTGGGATCTGGACGATCTGCAGCGGATATCCGCGCGAAGCGCTCAAACGCCACCTAGTGGCGCACTTACTCAACATCGCTGCCTTTTACCCAACGCAAGTATTCCGGTCCTTCTTTAGGGTTAGCTTGAAGCCGGCTTTTCGCTGAATTGAGCAGTTCTGCCCATTGCACGAGGGATC